GTACATGTATTTTTAGAAGCATACTCGTTTTTATCATATCATCAGAAAAATGAAATCAAACATGCATGTGTGCCTTCAGCTCGATCAAAAGAGGGAGCCTTTTATCAGCACCACATATGAAAGGATTCAAGGGGTTCAGAAAAAGATAACCATCTAAATCAGATGAGGTGAACATGCACATCACTGTTTCAGAAAGCTATGCAAATACACACATAGTCCAATTTCACTCGCCAGTCAAAAGGAGGCAGCTACTGTCAGCAATGCACCTATGTGATGAAGAAATTAGTTGCGTAAAAAAAAGACTTGTTGCAGTCCAATAATGAGCAGCTGTCACAATTCAGAAGCTTCAGAATAAGTTTGTTAAAAATTTATAAAACCATTACCCAAGGTGCCTTGGTAATGTTTGAAAAGAGGCTTCCAGCTCTCTCAGGATTAAGCACTTGACAAAGCCTGTCACTACAGGGAAAAGTTAATTTCCTGTTAAGATAAACTGATCTGCTTAAAAAAAAACTAGAAAACCAACAATATTTGAATTAACCTTATCACTAGAGGTTTTCCCAAACTATTTGTTATTCTATTATTTGCAATTTCATGGCAGCACAATATCCCTGCAGTGTTTTATTTTTGTTTTTTTTCACAGTATCCCTTTAATTTAGTATTTTCAGTAGTTCTGATGCCAAAGGCGCTGTCCATGGTACTGATAATGCAGAAAAACTCTCCTGCCCTCAATTCAAAATGGTGATACAACACCAACAATTTTACACGTTACACTGTATTCTGAGCAACCCACAGGATCACTCACAGGTCAGTGACAAATAACACTGCAAGTCTGGTGACTCACTGGCTCATTGTACACTCTTTTAGGTACCTTTACCTTTTTTACGCAGCTCCAACACTCAAAATGAATCAAATTGCAATCTAATTATGTGAGAATAGTGTACTTTGATCTACTGTTAGGTTAGAATAAAACAATATTGACTTTAAATCTGGTGACACTACAGGATATGGTGTCAAATCTGAAAAAAGGCAGAAAAATGACCAAAAACTTCCACAGGTCACTACTGCGTGGGAGATCACTTCAACAGCAGTGATACTAGCAGCATGTGGAAAGGCATGGGGGCTGTCACTGACTACAACAGCAAGTCTGTCTGTCCCAACAGTGATGATACACTGGCCAACGAGCTTACAGAAGCTTACGGAAACAACATTACAAGTCTACAGGAATCCTGGCTGTGGAGGATGAACAGGTTCTCCCACTGTGAACACATGATGCACCAACATGTTCTCACTCCAAACTCATCAAATACAGCAGCTTTGTCAGTGGCAAACCATGATGCTCTAGGTACCCATCTAGCGTCAGTTTCGAATGTGTCAGTTTCCACGTCAGCTTCCGATCACTACATGCTACAGTGTCAAAATGAACTTCTGTCTTCACAGGAAACGAAGGTTTTGCCTCCAAAACTTACCTTGGTTTGGTTTGCTGCAGCCAGAACTCTGTTACTACCTGTCTTTTGGCAATAAATAAATAATTTCTTACAGTTAAATGAAGACAAAACTGAAATCCGAAGTTACAAGTCTTGGCATGATCCTTGACTCAGATCTAAGCTTCAAGGCCCACATTAACAAGGTGACGTAAACATCATTTTGCCACCTCAGAAAAAACAGCCAAGGCGCAACCACTTCTAAATGAAAAAGATGCAATTGATTCCTGCCTTTATTTCAAGCCGCCTCGACTACTGTGACGCACTTCATACTGGCCTCCACTGAGAGGAACGCCACTGAGAGACTTCAGCTCATTCAAAACTCTGCAGTTCGGCTATTAACCAAAACCAAGAGGAGAGAGCACATCAGGCCAGTCTCAGCTGCTCTGCACTGGCGTCCTGTTACATTTAGAATTGAATTTTAAGTCCTCCTCCTTGTATACAAAGCCCAAAATGGGCTCTGGACCGAGCCACATTGCTAACTCGCTGGTTAACTATTTGCCTCCAAGAACACCGTGATCATCTGCTGCTGGTTTGTTGGAGGTTCCCAGCAACAGCCCGAAGAAGATCAGGGATGCAGCCTTTTTCAGTTACGCCCCAAAGCTATGGAGCACACCACCTATAGATATCAGGGAAGCTAGTTCACTAATTGTTTTTTTTTTTTTTAAAAAAAAAAAAAAGCTAAAAACGCATCTGTTCACTTTAGCCTTAAACTAGCTCTGACTTTCCTGATACAGGTCTGAAACTCTTTCTATTCACACTTCACACTGCTGCAACTCTTTTAAAATCTTACTTGATGGTTGATGGTTTTATGAATCAGTTAATCCTTGTTTTAAACTGTTTTAAATATCCGTTTATATTAAATTGCCTTGCCTGTTTTATGTCCGTTATGTGTATTCTCATGTGAAGCACTCAGTGCTTATACTACCCTTATTGTAAAGCACTAAATTTCTTGTATGAATCATTATTATTATTATTATTATTATTAAAACTACATAAGATTTAGACAAGAAAGCTACTTGGTTAGGTTGAAAAACATATGATTTGGGTTAAAACAACTGCGTTTGTTACAGTAACTTAACTAATATGTTATTTGACGACTATGCCACATAACATATGTCAATAACATGTTACATGGTTGAAAAAATCAAGTTGCTTTTTTGGTTTCACATGAGACACAAACACCAGTTTCCTGGGTGAAAGTCCAATGTGTGTTTCCCTCCTGCCCACTCAGACTTTCTCGCTCTTTCTACTATGTTTAGTCACAGATAGGATTACAAATTTGCCCAACAGCATGCTGATGTATTTACAAAAATCTTAAATCTGTCTCTGTCTCTGCCAACCGTAACAAAGTGCAACCTGAATGACTACTGTCCGGTCGCCCTCACACCAGCAGTAATGATGTGCTTTGAAAGGGTGATCTTCTCCCTCATCAAAGCCATTACCTCTGCCTCACTGGACACAGTTTGCTGACAGAGCCAACAGATGCTCAGAGGACACCATCATTCTGGCTCTTCACACTGTTGTGACTCATCACTCTGCAACCAGAGTTTTTTGTCAGAGCACCCTCAGGTGGTAAGATTGGGCCCCCTACCTGTCCTCCACTACAGCTCTGTGCACCAGCATACCACACGGTCATGTACTGAGCCCCAGCTTCTACCTCCTCTTCACACAGGATTGTGTTCCTGCATTCACCACTAACACCATCATTTAATTTGCAGATGGCACAACGGTGGACGAGCTGATTTCCAACAGCGATGAACCAGGCTACAGAGCGCAGGTACAGCATCTGGTGAGCTGGTGCTGAAATAACAACCTGTCCCTTAATATAGCAAAAGCCAAGGAGCTCATTATGAAATTTAGAAGTTCAGAGTGCGCTGCAGTCTACATTACCCACATTTCAGAGGACCTCACATGGTCAATTAACACCACTGTATTGGTTAGTAAACTGCAGCAACAGCTGTTTATTCCTGATGCTGACAAAAAGCTGCTCTGCCTCAACAGATGCTGGTGACTTTGTACTGCTGCACCAGAGAGTGTCTAAACATACAGCATCTCTGTTTTGTGTCTCAGTTGCACAGCAGCATATAGGAAAGCTCTTCAGCGGGTTGCCTCCAGAGCTCAGAAGATCAGTGGGACATGGCTTCGAGCCCTGGAGGACATCTACATCAAATCCTGCCTCAGAAAAACTACCAGCATCTGTATGAACTCCACACAGCCATGCCACCATCTGTTTGAACTCCTTCCATCTAGCAGACGCTTTAAAGCCCTCTACGCCTGCACCTTCAGACCGAAAAATAGCTTTTTTTCCCTGGAGCCAAACAGCACTGTTATCAGTCCATTAGGTGCCCCCTATAACCTGCCAAACTGCTCCGACAATGTGTGGCACAAATGAGTTTTTTACAACACTGGTACTGCATTGTAAGTTCTGTTTGCACTGTTTTGCTTTTGTTGCTATTTGCACTATTTAAAAACTGTTCTTTTTCTTTACCTTATTTAGTAATGCTTTGTAATGGAGATGCAGGGTGAATCTCGCTGTATTTGTACAGTGACAATAAAAAAATATTCTATTCCATACGATTCCCTCAAGGGGTCCTGGGGGTTCTCAGAAAAATGGGGATGAGTTTATTTTCACAATTTATTTCAGTATAACTGAGCCCAATGTGAGCAAGAATCAAAAGAGTGACTATACCCATCACAGGTTTCACTTCCCCCGTGCATATCTCCTCAACTGTCCCTCACAACTAATAGCCAAAACCTGTTCAGATGGAGGTCCCTGAAGCAAAATCTTATTAAAAAGGGGACCGTGACCTAATATGCATCAGTCCAGCGATCCTTGACACAAATAAGGTTGAGAACCACATATAGATTATCATCAGATGCTGTAAAGCATGCAATGTGAGGCATTGAGTGAGGCAAATAAGCAGATCATTGTTACTGATACAACTCCTTAAATCAGGAACAAAAAGCTCCTGAAAAGTGAAGCTTGTTATAAACGCAGACTCTGCAGTGCCAGTGTTGCACTGATTTTGTGATAATCACTAAAAAAAGATCAGCCATGGAACAGAGAAACAAATGTTGGTTGGATATCAACAGGTCAGAGTGTTACAGAGCAGCAGACAAACTGAACTAAACGCTGTAAAGGCTGCCAGGTTGGACCCATGAAAGCACAAAATACAGCTCTGTGCCTTTTGTATCCAGACAGTAAATACCTCAGCAACACTGAGATCATGGGGAGATACAGAGAAGATGGACAGCATGCTTTATTTCATACAAAAATAAGTGTTCTGTGCAGCTTGGCTGTTGTGTCTGTATACTCGGGGGTAAAACTGAGCCACGTTGCTGCATATTATATTCATGTGCGAGTCACAGCTATTCTGACTGACTATTCCCCAAAGTAATAATGCTTAAATTGCGGCAGTAATAGGCTGGAGAGGGGGTTGTTCTAATGCAATCTATGTAAAAACGTGCAAAACGTGATGCTGAAAAACAAAAAACAAGTGGATACATGTTAATTACCTGTGCGTCAACTGAAGTCCAGCACAAGAAAAAGTTTGAGACTAATATCCAAACGAACAAGTTCATAGTTCGTAGGTCTGCCTTCATCTCCTGCAGCGTAAAAATATATGAACTATACGTTCATGTGAGTTCAAGCAGCTTTACGCATGAGATTAACATCCCCGCTGTAGCCGGCGCATCACTGAGTAGAAGAGCTTCACCTCATGAGAAAGTTTCATTCCAAGTTGTGGTCCAAAACTGAGTTGCCCAGCGTAGTGAGAAGGATGTGACAGTACACCTCATCAGATCATAAATTCCCCGATGATTTCCTACTCGGGTTCTCCTCTGGCACACTCAGAGGGATTCCCAGGAGTGAGTACCGTGACATCGCAGCCCCTGCGGAGAAGGAGACCCGGACGCACGCTGGCACCGGAGATTTCAGTCGGGGATGTGGCGCGAGCTCGAGACGAGCGCGAGGAGAAGAAAAGTGACCCTCTTGTCACAAGTGTCATTATGCAAACCCCTATCTGCCATGCACCCCCCTCAGCCTGTGCGCACTCTCCACCAAACTGTTGGACGGTGCGTAAGCGCTGCCTATGCCTTGAACGAGTCACCACCACCACGTGACGTGATTAAGATATTCTCTCCCCTCGCACATCTTGGCACGCGCAATTTGTGAAAGGGACCTGGAGGGTAGCAGCGTCTCTGACGCACAGACATATTTTCTATACCGTCAATTGAGATGTTTTTACCTGTTCTTTTAATTGTATCTCTCTTTTTCCAATATGTGTTTATAAACTTGTACTTACCACGACAATAAAATGTCATGAGACTAATGTGAAAGATTAATGTTTAAATATGAAAATTGCTTATCAGACTTCCCAGCATGCATTCTATCAGCCCCTTCTCCTTGTTAGCTTATCAAGTGACCCAGACACCTACAGAAGCTGAGCCAGCTTCTACAGGTAAGGTGTGATATATCTGTGATACAATAACTGCAATGTAAGACCTTCCTGCGGTACTCTGAGGCAGCAAAACAAACTGTAAACACAACATTGATTTAACATCAACTTATGTAAAATGGATATGGTGAACTTGTTGCAAACAGTTGGCTACTCATCCAGCAGGCAGGGCAACACTGAGCTGGCAACTGGCCATCTGATGAATTAATGGCATTATTCTTCTTTCAGCTGTTCTTTTACTCCTTAACTGCAGACAAAAGACAAAACATTTCTTTTAGCTGCTAAATACTCCATAATGTTCACCAGCAAGTCAACAAACATTTTCTGTCTTCTGTTTGGTGATGATTTGGTAGTGTACTGTGGGTTTTTAGCAGCTTTTCTGCCAAAACAGCCTCAGGCTGCAGCTGTGAGAGTGGTGAAAGTGAACCAAAACAATGAAGTTGCTTTTCTGCAGGCGATGTTTGTAGTAATCCCTTATTTCACAGGCTGAAGAGAGGATTGTTAGAATGAAACAAAAATTCTGCAACAGAAAATACTGAGTATTAAAGTGTCAAATAATTTCGTGAATGCATCATGGGTGTCCTCATCTGGGCGAAGTCCAGCACAAGAAAATGTTCAAGACCAATATCCACCTTAACAAATTCACACCAGACAAAACATTTATGTAATTATTGAACATTTGTATCAATTAATTTGCCTAGGACTAGATCAAGGTCAGATTCAAGCTGCAACCTCTGCTGTTTACAGCCTGGTACAAAAAAATGTTTTGATCTCTATAGCTAATTTCCCTATTAATGGCAACTGTGGGGGACGGGAGGCTTACAGTTACGCAGAATTAAGGGAGAGCCACTTTGAGTGACAGGCTGTCTGCCAATAGTGTCCTCAGCTTCTCAGTCAGATCCATCGCTCGCCCCTCCACAGTGCCAGCCTCCCAACCAAATGTGGTTACTTACGGCTCAAAAAAATTAAGACGGCGAAGATCAAAATGTCAGATTCGAGGCTTAAAAATGTGAGTCCACAAACCAATGGGTAACATCACATTCATTCATTTTACAGTCTATGAGCTGTGAATACATAAAGTTGAAGTTGGTAACTTTCATTAAAATAACTTTTTGTCACATATGCCGAAATGGTCACTACTTCTTTACAGTTGTACATGCATGAGACAATCTGTGACAGGTGATCTGACCACCACAAGTGAATGAAAACAACAAATCAGAGTCTCTAATGCAGCTATTATGAGCTGCAGTCAAACTGTCACACTAGGCAGCACTGATTCTGTTACTGCATTGTCTATTTCTCACCTCAGATGTTTTCAGAAACATATTTTAGTGCACTGTTTAGCTATAAAATTAGAACGTTTTCTCCAGCTGGTGGGCGGTGCTTGGTAGGATAACTTTGCAACATGGCAGCTGGGTCACAAACTCTCTCATTTTGCAGCTAAACAGTGCACCAAAATATGTTTCTGAAAACATATGAGTCAAGAAATAGGCAATGCAGTAACATATTCTTAATTCATTCAATAGATCAGAGGCATTCTCGGAACCCATCGGCTGTCTGCCGGAAGTCAGACGGCGATACAGCCTCTGGGGCAGAGAGTATGGATACCAAGAGGCGAAGCTCAATAGAACGCCCCATAGCAACAGACTCGCCCATGGTTTCGTCCTACCGCCGCCATTTTGGACTGTCAGCAGACCGCAGCAGACCCGCTTGCATACAAAAACACACAGACAAACTTAAGTATATCGCTATTAATTTTGCTTACAATGCTACTCACCTCGTGATAACGTTAGCTTGGTCACAGCTGCTTTTTCACGTTTTTTAAAGCAAAATATAGACTTTAAAAAAAAACGAAACGAAGAAAAACGGCCGAGATGGCATCTCTACATATTACATCCACTTATGAGAAGATTAACTTAATTACTCCTTCAAAATCACCCCATAAGCCAATCTACCAAAAATAAAAAAAAATAGGCTAAATAAAAAAAAAAATATTTTAACTAGAAACACATTAATGGCGATGTCACATAGTCAGGAATAAAGATTTATTTACAGTTTGTACAGTAAGGGGGCAGTAATAATAATAACAATAATAATAATAATATAGGCTATTTTAATATGATATATTTTAATGCTAAAGCAGTAATCAGTTCAGATATAAATGGTCCAAGAGGCCATATAGCCTATATGTGTGTGTGTGTGTGTGTGTTACCTTCCCTCCAAAACTGGCATATTAAATTGATATTAAAACACTTACAAAACTTACACCTCAGGAGTTCTTACCTGTTGGGATCCTTCGGGAAACGGTGGAAGGCCAGGTGCGGGGTGTTCCACTGATAGTTGTTGCAGTTAATTGCACTACACTGTTTTCTTTAACTTTTTTTCCCCACTCTCCTTGACATTTTGCATGTTGTCTGGGCGCAACAGTCCAAGCTCAACAGTTCAAAATGGCGGCAGCGCCCCTAGTGGCTGTTGGCAAAAATTCAACGGAGCTTCGCCTCTTGGTATCCATGCTCTTTGTCTGGGGGCAGACCCCCGATTTTTTGGCATTTCCGGTTTGATTTGGGCGGAGGAGGCGAATTTCCGTTTCCGACTTCCGTTTATATATAAGTAAATATGCTGAACCACTGCGATGGATTCAGAGTTTGCAGTGACGCCAATTATGTTCCGCCTGGTTAGTTCACCGCACGGACCGTTTAACCTGGCAACAACTGCAGCCGGCTCAAATGTGATTGGTCAATATCACGCGGACTACAAACAGCCTACAACCGGAAACCAGGGTTCTTCCGCTCTTCTTCCGGAGGCAAGATCTCCAGGGTTTGCCTACAGACTCTACATTCACTGAATGTAGAGTCTGTATATAGAGACTAGATCAGAGGTGTCTAGTTTTCTGTGCTTGATGCAGGTGACGCTTAGAGCACACTTTAGTCTTTGACCGTGTTTGGCAGGTTTATCATGCTTCAGCTTTGTTGATTTATTGTGCTACTATGTTTCATTTGGTATTTCTGAAGAAGAAAGTTTTCAATACAGTTTGCAACAACGACTACAGAGTTTAACTGAATGACATGGCAACTATTATGTTCAGATTAAGTGGTATTTTCAAGACAGATGGAGCTGCACCCACATAATCATTAACAGTTTTAATTACAGTCATTCAACACTTTGACCCAATCATCCTAACATTCCATTCAACTTGCAATTTAATAGCATCCAAACACACGTTAAGCTGAGTCACTGCAACATTTTTACTCTCTTCTGAATTTCTTTGATTCAGTATTTTTAGAGCCCGTGGTGTTGAAGGAGCTGTCCATGGTGCTGACAAGGCAGGATAAGGCAGCAGTTCAAACCAAACCTGTGAACAAGCATTGGTAACACCTGGTCACTGTTTGTGCTTTAATGAGGTTGGTATTTAGGAAGGCATGACATTGGATGGCCCTCACTTAGCACCAATTATTGTCAAGTTTTTGCCAAGAGTAATTCTGTGTGAAAAACCCCCACATCTGTTCACCTCTTTAAAAGGGCTGTAACTGTTTATTGAGCATGTTGAGCATGGATCTATTATGTCGCCTAGACTGTTGCACAGTGTGCATGTGGGCAGAGCCTGTCTAATGACTCAGTAATGAACTAATGCATTTAGCGCATATGCCACGGACTCACACAGTGCAGCATTCTGTTCAAGTGGTAACTGTTGATGACATGCAGCTGTCAAATTGATATTTGTAGGCTGCCATTTACCCAGCATGTAATGGGTATTTAAAAAAACACTTTACAGCCTTATGTTAGCGGTGTAACAATAGAGAGGAGAGACAGAATGAGACAGTGGACAAGATAGAAAAACGTGGCATTTTCTAGTGGGCGCATTTTTGTAGAAATAGATAAAGGATCCTGGGAGCACACACCCTCTGTCATGAAAAACGGTTTGAATAGGCTGTGATTGCATGATTTCACACCCAATCACTTATTTTTCCTCCGCTTAATTAGTGGATAAAGGTCATCCATGTGTTCTTCTCAGCATCTCGCCAAGGCCTCGGCAAAGTGCTGGGGGGGATGTCCTGATGATAGCTGAAGTTTTGAGAAACCAATACAAATCCACAGACGTAACCCCTTGTCAGCGAAATTAAAGCCTCTCAAAGCTCATTTGGCTCGGACTTAACTGTATGGCTCCTGTAGCTGCTTGCTCTCACCAGGCAATTACACATATCTCTGGGAATGCTTGCTCTGTATAAAAAAGGCTCTTGGGACATCTAAATCAAAGGTAATGTGAATGCTGGTGTTTCCTTCTCAGTGTTCAGTGCATATTAAGCTCACGTTTGCACAGAGTAATGGTCTGTGCCGTGGTCTTTTGTTCCACAAAAGGTGCTGAATTTTCAATAATGTGTTTCGTTTTGCTCTCCCATTGATTCTCTTTCACAGCTCCTGTAGAGGCCATTGACATTTTGTGTTTCAGTTTGCTCAGTGGAGCTCAATAGGCATCTTAGCTCTTCTAAGATTAGTAAAGGCTGCTATTTCTGAGCAGAGGAATTTGCTGGCACATTAGATTGACCCCCAAA